TTTAAAGATTACGTTCGATAGTATGACACTGTTAAGAAAAGAAACAACGAAAGAAAAAACCAAAATTGGGCTCAATATGTCAAATTGAAAGAAAGCGCTCCGTAGATGTTTACTCACTGCCGTCTCTGGCCAGACTGTTTAGTTATACTAATGTAAATTTGTGTTGGCAACCATACATCATTAATTAATATAATCAATATAACACATGTAACTTTAATCAAACATCAAGCATTCTCCTCTAGTATGATTCTCAACTATTATTATGTATATAGATTTGTTCATTATCATTGTATATATTTTTTGGATATTTAAATTTGTAAATATAATAGTTAGTAAACCATCTTAGTACTTTTATATTCTACCTTGCATGCCACCAATTAGTAATAGAAACAAATAGTAAATTTATAAACATGATACCTTTAGAAAAGAAATCCAATAAAGATTATATGGTTCAATCTAGGATACTACAGTAGGGGGTCTGTGGTATCTAAACATTTAAATACATCATTAATATATTTTTCGGTATATCGGTTCTCTTCTGGGACCGATATGAATACCAATATAAGTATTAAATATAAATAAATGCGGTTTCTGGAACCCCCTACTCGCCGTAGAAACGCGAGGCCAGGAACATTGCATAATATAGAGACAATTATTAATATTTCCATTCATACTCTTCCATATTTATGACATCCCAACTTTTTATAAAGCTGAAAATCTTATTATCGACACATCCGTTAACATAGCAGGTAGATGATGTGGGCAGAGCCCAAATATAGCATAAGGATAAAAATGAAGATATTGTGTTCTTGCTTTTAAAGGAATCTTGCTTTTTTTGCGGAAAGTTATACATTTCTTTAGGGTAGAAAACGAAATAAATTTATATACCTATACAGTCAGAAAACCTCGCGCGGGCTCATTACCGCGTATGGGGAGCGTCCCACGGGTGGCGGATGTGGGGATGGTCGGTGGAAATTCCTTGGAAGTTCCTCCCGGCTAAGTCCGATGGACTCGCTGACCAACAATGAGAGGGGCCCTCCAGACTTGCTGGAGGGAGGGGACCTCCAGACTTGCTGGAGGTAGGGGCCCACCAGACTTGCTGGAGGGTGTGACGTAGGATTGAACGCCCTACTCACATATCTTTAGTTCACCAAACACCACAAAAAGTCATGGATCTCCCTAAGGTAAAACGCTCATTATCCGGAGGTAAACTAGTCCCCCGTTCGGGTCTCCGGGTGGGGACTGCTTTAGGGGATTCATGCCGCAAGTTGAAATATAGGGATTTAAATATTGGTACGTGGAACGTAAGGAGTTTAAACACAGCAGGGGGGCTAAAATCGGTCGCGAATGAGGTAAATGGGTACAATTTGGATGTCGTGGCTCTGCAAGAGGTTCGCTGGCCAGGGGAGGGCTCGATGAGGGAAGGAAAGTACACTATTTGGTACGGAGGAAGCGGGAATCATTGTTTAGGTACCGGGTTTCTAATTAGGAGTAGATTACTATCCGCTTTGAGGGACGTACAATTCTTTAGTGATAGAATTTCGGTAGCTACATTTCAGGGACGTTGGTTTAAAATCGCATTAATAAACATACATTGTCCGACCGAAGACAGTGACGATGAAGTCAAAAGTGAATTTTACGATAAACTCGAATGGGTATATGATAAACTACCGCGAAACTACATGAAAATAATTGTAGGTGACGCGAACGCAAAGGTAGGAAGGGAAGAAGTTTATATTCAGACGATTGGTAAAGAAAGTTTGCACGAATATAGTAATGATAATGGGATCCGTCTGATAAACTTTGCCATCCCGAAAAACCTGGTAATTAAAAGTACGACCTTCAAACGTAAGGATATTTATAAATATACTTGGACATCGCCGGATTCGCAAACACGAAATCAAATCGATCATGTCTTGATACAACACAGCTGGCAAAGCAGTATAATCAATGTACGGTCTTATCGCGGAGCAGAATGTGGGTCGGATCATGAATTAGTAATCGCGAAACTTCGACAAAAACTTAATATAAAAAAGAGAAAAGAAAACCGTTTCGATTTTGAGAAATTTAATTTGGAAAAATTAAAAAATCCATCAATTAGAAACCAATTCGAGCTAGATGTTAAGAATAGGTTTGAAGCTTTAGAGCTTCCTGACGAGGACCACGAGGATATTGACAAGTTATGGGTAGAGATCAGGGATAATATTAAAGCGGTCGGTAACTCGTGTCTAGGAAAAAAGGAAAATAAGAATAACAAACCGTGGTTTGATGAAGATTGCTTAAACATGTGCGAAAAAAGGAAAGCCGCTAAATTAAAAGCTCTAAATAATCCTAGCGAAGACAATCTGGAATACTTCCGAATCTCAAAGAACGAAACGACAAAATTGCTCAAAAATAAAAAAAGGGAGTATCTCAAAAATAAAATAATTGAAATAGAAACTAATAGAATCGAAAATAACGTAAGAGACATGTACAAAGGTATAAACAGATCACGTAAATATGTAGGGCCCGTAACGTCTGGAATTAGGGATGATAATAACAATATTCTGACCGATCCGGTTGACATATTGAATAAGTTTAAGGACCACTTTGACAATATTTTAAATACGGGAAATTATGATCTGTGTCCTCCTTCTGAGTACCAGAGTGCTGAACCGTTGATAGAAGGACCAAGTAAAGAGGAAGTTGAAGTAGCTATCGGTAAATTAAAATCATATAAAGCAGCGGGAATCGATAATATTCCTACTGAACTAATTAAGGCATGCGGGGAAGCTGGAGTTTCTAAAATACATCGCTTGGTTGAAAAGATCTGGGTGAACGAGAAATTACCTGAAGAATGGAAAGAATCTATTCTTATTCCGATTCACAAAAAGGGTCCGAGGACGGATTGTAATAACTATCGAGGAATTTCACTCCTTCCGGTATGTTATAAAATATTCACTGTAATCTTAACCAGTCGAATCACGGAATACGCCGAGGAAATTATCGGAGACTACCAATGCGGATTTAGACGGAATCGTTCGACTATTGATCAAATATTTTCTTTACGGCAAATATTAGAGAAAAAATTGGAGTATAACGGTATTGTTCACCAGCTGTATATAGATTTTAAAAAGGCTTACGATTCTATTGACTGCCAGAAACTGTATAATATTCTAATCGAGCAGGGAATTCCAAAAAAACTAGTAAATCTAGTCAGGATGTGCTTGACGGAGACACTCAATAAAGTTAGAATCGGTAATAATTTGTCCGAAAAATTTGAGGTTCGTTCGGGCTTAAAACAGGGGGATTCTCTTTCGCCTGTCCTGTTCAATTTGGCATTAGAACATGCCATTAGGGAGGTAATGCGTACCGAGAAAGGGTTGGATCTGGGCGGGACAACATCCGTGCTGGGCTATGCTGATGATCTGGTACTGTTAAGCGAAGACGTTGAAACTATAAAACTAAATACGACAACGTTAATGAAAGCCGGTAAAGAACTAGGACTCGAAATAAACGTGGATAAAACAAAATATATGGTTAGCTGCAAAAATGGCGATACTACTGGTGATATCGATATAGATGGTAATATGTTTGAACAGGTAGATAAATTTAGGTATCTAGGTTCTACGATAACTAGAAAAAACGAAATTGAAGAAGAGATTAAAGTTAGACTGAAGGCGGGGAATGCTTGTTATTTTTCTGTGACAAAACTACTCAGTTCGCGCCTCTTGTCCCGAAACTTAAAAATTAGAATCTATAAAACAATTATCTTGCCTACAGTTCTTTATGGATGCGAAACTTGGCCGCTTACATTAAGGGATGAGCAGCGTCTTAAGGTTTTTGAAAATAAAGTATTGCGTAGAATATTCGGACCGAAGAAGGATGAGTTAACCGGAGAGTTCAGACGGTTACACAACGCCGAATTGCGTGAGCTATATCCGGGTAATATAATTGAGGTAATTTCATCGCGGCGAATCAAATGGGCTTGTAAAGTTGTTGGGCTTAGTAACGAGAGAATTCCTAAAAGGTTAATATTTGCTGTGCCGAATGGTAAGCGTCGGAGGGGTAGACCGAAGCGAAGGTGGGAAGATTGCATTAAAGCTGATCTGAAGGGACTGGGTTTGGACGGCGAACGGTGGAGGGAGGTGTGTAACAAGCGATTGGTGGTGTCGGCATCGAACCTTCGGGTTCGCTAAGCCTTATTATTATATTATTATTATACACAGTCAGAAAATAATTAGATGGAAAATATAGTTTATCAGATATTTAAATTAAATTAGTTAATTAAGAATGTAATAAAGTCAAAACAAAATAAAAGAAATAACAGAGATTTTTTTTATAAACTAAAATACAACTACATTGAGAACAAGATGGTTTATTTAATCGCTGAATTTTACAATTTTATTATACATATCAGACATACTCAGTATCTTGGACTAACTTGGGGTAACTTGGACTAATATTCGGCGGAAGGATGACTTGGTGTTCACACATCAAAAAGAAAAGGATGGTTAAACAAATAATTAAAAATAATTTCATTTGTCCAAATCAAAATTCAAAATCCAACAAATACTAAATACATCAACATGCCAACCTAAACCTAATGGATATAACAGCAGCCCTGTGGTACGTAAACAACAAATTTTACATACTGACTAACAACAATCAACTATCCACCAACAAATACTTACTCTTTAGTTCTTGTATTTTATATCAAACTATACTGACAAAACTGTAGACTTATTAATGACATTACCAAGGCTGAAATGTTCATCAAGTTTAGTAGAATCTAGAGGAGAGATCCCCATTCTGAATTAAGGAAGTAAACAAAGGCCAGAAAGAGGTGTGGATGAAGATTTAAAAAGAAAAAAAAAGTTTTATGAACTAGCTGATTTCGTTGGATCGAAACGATTAATGAGAGTAGACAGTATAAGGAAATAATAATCTACTGAATTAAAACAAGAAATAATGGAATAATACCACATAATTGAATAATATCTGTTAAAACAAATACTGACCAGTATCCTAGCGCATTCATCGTGGTCGTAGATAGCAGCAAGGTGGAGGGCTGTCCTGCCGTGCTCGCCGCCCTGGTTCACGTCGATCTTGTCCTTGTAGCTGGCGATGGCGAGGAGGACCTTGGGCTTGTTCAGCTCGGTCGCCAAGTGGATCACCGCTTGGTTCTTTTCATTGAGCACGTTGGCGTCTACTCCGCTATGGGAAGACAACGGAAAAGAAAAATTAGCATAGTCTTAGAGGTCATCCAAAGAAATGTGAAATTTTGATCAAGGATTCTAGAATGTCCATCCCATTTTATATATCTCATGAAAGCATTTGCTGGTAATATCGATGCATAGTCTCGATAGTCCGTGGTACAGACCCCTTTTTATCGACTTATTATCATCAGCCTGAAACTTTGGAACTGGGACGTTTTCAATCTGGAGGGGAGCAATGCCTATTTAATTATGTACTAAAAACTCGTAAACACCCATTTGCTTTCTACTTGGATCGTAAGATAATTTGATCTCAAAATCGAGAAAAAAGGTGGCCTCCAAAAATATTGAGCCGTTCGACGTGACCTACTGCCCCAAATGTCAAAATAACGAGGTTATATTGGACAAACAGCCCAATATAATTTTTGTAGGCTACATTTTTTATCGATTTTATAATCCAATTATCTTACGATCCAAGTAGAAAGCAAATAGGTATTTACGAGTTTTTAGTACTTAATTAAATAGACAAAGTTTGCTTCCCTCCAGATTGATAACGCCCCAATTCCAAGAGTTTTCGTAAATAAAATAGTTGTAGGTTACGATGAGATAAAACTTTTAACAAAGTTTCTGGCGGATGTTAATATTTCGATAAAAATGGATCTGTACCACGGACTATTACTCTCTAAAGAACAAGGCTTCCAGAAAAATAATAATATCCTCAAAGGTGAATAAAGTTTGATCAAACTGTAGATTAATTTTGGCTACTGAGCCAATATTTAATGATATCAGGCGAGCTTTTCTAAAATTTGAAATATTTTAAACAAGATGGGGATAGCTGTCATTAAATATACAGTTCATGACATTCATTCTGATTCTAAAATAATTTTCTGATATCCTCATTTCGAGGCACAGGGTTTGAATAAGATAAATAGATTTACGCTACTTGTATAAAGTCGATAGCAATACTAGGAAACGGGATTTACAACACTTCTAGTCAAGGAAGTCTAAAAGTCTAGCCAGGAAGCAAAAAACTTGAAGATGGTTAATTGGATGGACTAAGGCAATCGTCAGGATCAGGGACGACGGGAGAATCGAAAAGAAGAAATTAACATCACAGGAATAGAAGGTAACTAGCGCAGGAAAGATCAGCTTGATTCAGGCTCTTTAGAGAAAACCTCGCACATCGTGAAATATGGTGTGATTAAGTTATATATTACGGCAAAATAGATAAAATTAATTAAAATCCATGGTGTTGAATATGATTTAGTAATTTCTCTAAATCATAACAGTAGAAGTTAGATACTTCTAGATGTGATAAGTTGCTCTTCAACAGGTATTATTTGTACAGGAATTATCTATTCGATGAAAAATGCAGTAGAGGACATGTAAACCTTTTAAAACTTATTTGCTTCGTTCATTTCAGGATTTGTTTTATGTACAAATATATTTGATTGTTCTGTCTTGCTTACTTCAGTTTAGATTTATAATTTATTATTTGCGCAATATATTTATTAATATAATAATAATTATTTACTACGTCACCAACAAAACCCTACATCATGATCTCAACATCTCATTTGTCCTTAACCTGGTTCCATCTAGGTACTCAAAATTCCTTCAAAAACTTATCCATCATCCTAATCTCTAAGCACAATCTCTCTCTAGCTCCAACCATCCATATAATCCCCCACGAAGGTTGAAACGGCAATGGCCCCCAGACCTTATGTAAATACTCTATTGGAGTTCTGGCAGTGGTCAGCTTCTTCACTCAAGTCCTGGATGAATATGACCTTAGTGCTCTCACTCACTCTCCACTGACTTTCAAAGGGTGAAGCACTGGGATTTCTTTGAGCCCAGATTTGCCTTTTTCATGAAAGCGGCTAAGCATGCTTCAGGGTTCCCCAGACTGAATGTAAATATTGTACGTAGTAATGAATGTGTGGCAAGTAATTTTTTTCTTTTTATTGTCCTTTTAATTTTTATTTTTACAAGTTTTTTATATATTGGTTATTTTTATTGTATATATTTTTTACTTACATGTTTTATTCTTAATAATAGATTTAAGTATTAAGAGCCTTAATACTCAAAGCCCTACACTGAGGCAGATTGTATTATTACTATTCCCATACAAGTTAAAAAATAATAATTATTGTTATTAATAAGTCCAATTTGTTTCGTAATATATTGCAGATGCAGATGGTAAAGTGGCTTAACAAGATAATACCCGAGTAAATGTGAGCAAAAAATTAGGCACAGAAGCGAAATAGAACTTACCTAGCGATCTCATTAGTGAAACTGAAATTTTCATTTATCCGCCTGCATTTTAGTACCCAGAGCCATTAAATGTTCAAAACAAAAAATGTCTCCAATTTTTTACAAATTTAGGCTGTTCAGAATTCAACAATTGAGCGGGGATATAATGTATGCCATTTTCGCATAGACGTCATTTTTGTTCTTAAAAAAACGATAACGCTAACGCCATGAAAAAATAGTAAATTTTTTGTCTATAACCAACATATTTAATCTCGTCAAACAACACAAAATATGAGGAAAAAAAATTCTTTTTATTATTCTTTCAGCTATTCTATTCTATTCTATTATTCTGGGTTATTCTATAAGTAATTTTCTGATCTTCCATAGCATATAAATTAAAGTGTGATAACTTTCATTTCAATTCTCGCAATAACTACCATAGTAAAAAAATAATAATATAATTTTTTTTTTAACCAGCGCCTACAATGAATATTTTATTCAAATATATTATTTTCCTGCCTTGGACGGCTGTAAGAGAGATTGTTTGAAAACATACTCTATTGCATAACCTTAAGATTCTTTGAAATATAAGGATTTATTAGAGTGACCATATAAAAATCGATTACAAGATTATATGTTGCCGTCAATAAGTGCGTTTTAAATTTTTTTTGGTTCGGTATCAGGAACTTTATCTACAATAGTATAGTACTAAGCATTATGACATATGGATCAGAAACTTGGACCATGAAAATCAACCTAAGGAAGAAACTTCTAGCCACCGAAATGGACTCCTGGAGACGAGCGACGGAAATATCAAGAATGCATAAAGTCAGAAATACGACCATCAGAGAAAAAGTGGAGGCTAAAAGAATCATTCTCGAAGAGATTGAGATAAAACGCCTGAAGTGGTGTGGACATTTGAAAAGAATGCCTGAAGGAAGAAGGAAGTCCACTTAGGGAAAACTAGGGAAACAGGAAGACCTGGGATAACGAAGTGGAGGAATACATGATTGGTCATGGTCTACGGGAACAATGGACCTTAGATAGAACATTATGGAAAGAAGCCATCCAAGCAATTCAGGTTAAGGAAACCCACCATTAGTGGAAACTCTTAATACAAAAAAAAATAAATAAAAAAAAAATATCAGGAACTTAGATCCTTTTACAATTTCACATTTTATTTATATAGGCTTCCTAAAGATACCTTAGTTTTAATAGATTGTACAAAAAAAATACAATGAAAAAACTACATCATAATTTAATCCAATATGAGTTATTCATCAAAGGAAATTCAAATTTAATTCTTAGCAACTTACAATTGGAAAAGGAAGTCGATAGCTTCTAGAGATTCATGCTCTACAGCGATATGAAGAGGTGTGTTACCATGGTGGTCCTTAACATTTAGATCTGTAAATAATAAAAATATATCAGAAAAATAAAAAAATATTATAAAAATAAAATTGAAATTGTTATAACAGCAAGAGAACATAGAGTACATTAGTTCAATGTTTCTTCTTTGGTTTTATTGTTCTAATTATCAAACTTCAAGGTATGATGATTTCATTCAATAAAAAAAAATATATATAACGTAAAAATCAACACTATCTAGTGACTCGCTATTAAATTAATGCCCCTATAGCACTCTACTACAGTAGACCATAGTACACCAATTAAAAGGTGAGTTATGGTATTTTTCAAATTTAACTGCCCCATTATCGTCCAACGAGGTTATCTGATCTTGCGGCTAACGATCGTACAAGAGAGTTCGCATTTTCAGATTTATTTACGAAAGATATAAGCACGTAGACCTTTATTACCGCCGATTTACATAAATTTAATATAATCGCAATAGTATGAAATTTGGTAAAAGTAGATCCAATGTAAATATCCTATATATTTTTTTTAGTACATTTGTTGACATAAAAGTTGATTTTTCTGTAAGAGTAACCAAGAAACATTAATATTTTATTTCATAGTTATCAATGAGTAATATGAACTCTGACCATGGCCCAATTCAACACCGAAGTTTGTAAACAACAGAAGAAATAGCCTTGTAAAACTTGTTTGGATCTATAACATTTAGTTTAGTTGAAAGTGCTTGAATGGATAGAATGAATCATTTCCTTTTCTACCGCTGAGCAGTGTGTGGAGCCTTCTTGTAGAGCCAAATCCACAACTCTCGATCCTGAGCCAACTGCCGCCTCCTCCTCCAGTCTAGAGATGGGCAAAATTGTACTCTGAGTAAAAAGTACAATTACAGAGTAATTTACTCAAATACTCGCCTGGTTCGAGTATCGAGTACTTTAATCACTACTCGACCTCATGATTGACGAGTACAAAAAGTAATCAGCTGGCCTCGTGAGTGCTTTCTATTTTCAAATCTACTCAGCAATATTTTACTCTGAGTACTTTTCAAAGTAATCCAGTATTTCATTATAAAAATTACAGGAGTAGAATATTTAATATTTCTTCCATATTTAAGTCCATTGTTACTTTTTCCACTTTTTTTAGCTTTTTGGATTAAATCGATATCAGGGTCGAATATTATGTTTTGGGGGGCGTTTTTTATGAAAATGATATCGAATTTGAGATTGGGCCCCCGGGTCCCGACTTTTTTTAACTTTTTGGATTAAATCGATATCAGGGTCGACTATTATGTTTTGGGGGGCGCTTTTTATGAAAATGATATCGGATTACGAATCATTTTCATAAATTTTGAGATAGCGCACCCGGGGCCCGACTTTTTGTAACCTTTCATGTTTAATCGATATCGATGTTGATTATGACGTTTTGGGGACACTTTTTATGGAAATGATTTTTCAGATTTTTTTTTTATAAAATGCGTCCCGTAAACTGAATCCACTGGGTGCAATCACAAATCTGACAGTATTTCATAAAAACCGTCTTCCAAAACTTAATTTTTGACCCTGATATCTAGTAAATCATTAAAGTTACTAAGTCGGTACCCGGGGGCACTATCTGAAATCCGATATCATTTTCAAAAAAAGCGCCCCCTAACACCTAATAATTGACTTTAATATTGATTAAATCTGAAAAGTTACAAAAAGTCGGGCTCCGGGGTCCCAATCTCAAATCCGACATCATTTTCATAAAAAGCTCCCCCACAAACCTAACAATTGACTTTAATATCGATTAAATCTGAAATGTTACAAAAAGTCGGGCCCCGGGGGCCCAATCTCAAATCCGACAACATTTTCATTAAAAGCGCCTCCCAACACCTAATAATTGACACTAATATCGATTAAATCTGAAATGTTACAAAAAGTCGGGGCCCGGGGGGCCCAATCCCGAATTCGATATCATTTTTATAAAAAGCGCCCCCCAAAACATATTAGTCGACCCTGATATTGATTAAATCCAAAAAGTTATAAAAAGTCGAGGTCCGGGGTGGTCCAATCTCAAGTTCGATATCATTTTCTTAAAAAGCGCCCCCCAAAACATATTAGTCGACCCTGATATTGATTCAATCCAAAAATTTAAAAAAAGTCGGGGGCTGGGGGGCCCAATCCCGGATTCGATATCATTTTCATAAAAAGCGCCCCCCAAAACATAATAGTCGACCCTGATATTGATTTAATCCAAAAAGTTAAAAAAAGTCGGGGCCCGGGGGCCCAATCTTAAAATTCGATATTATTTTCATAAAAAGCGTCCTCCAAAACATATTAATCGACCCTGATATCGATTTAAATCAAAAAGTTAAAAAAAGTCGGTGCCCGGGGGGCCCATTTTCAAATTCGATAACATTTTCATAAAAAGCGTCCCCCAAAACATAATAGTCGGCCCTGGTATCGATTAAATCGGAAAAGTTATGAAAATTCGATGCCCGGAGGCACTATCTCAAATCCGATAGTATTTATTTATAAAAAGGGCCCCCAAAACATGATGGTTAGTCTAATATCGATTAATGGGAAGTCAGAATTGGTCAGGTTGAATATGGCCGCTATTATAGAAGGAAATAAAAGAAAAAATTTTTACTCTTTATAATAATGACACAGTAGTTGAAAAATAAAAAGTACTCTTTGTAGGAATTTGGCTGAATACTTTCTGTAATTCGATATAACAGCGTGAGTATTTTCTGTACTTAACTAAATCATGATTAACGCTGCGTGAGTACTCTCAGTACTCGCCGCTGTCAGGCTGAGTACAGAAACTACTCGATACTTTTTCCTAATAAAATTACTCAAATCATGAAAGTAATCGAGTACTGCCCATCTCTACTCCAGTCAGTATTCCTTCTGTCAAAGGCCTCCTTGACTCTGGCCTCCCAGGTCTTCCTGGGCCTTACCTGAGGTCTTCTTCCCTCAACTTTGCTTTCCAGCGCTATCCTGGCCATTCGATTCTCTGGCATTTGAGAGACATGACCAAACCATCTCAAACGATTTTCTTCCATCACCGTTTCGGCTGATCTTACGTTTAAATTTTTCAGTATTATGGATTTTCTTATGCGATCTCTCTTTGTTTATCCTTCGACCCTTCGGAGAAATCGCATCTCCATGGCCTGAGTCTGACTGATGTGCTTTCTGGTGAGGGTCTAAGACTCGCTGGAGTAGGTCATTATTAGGAGGAAAGTATTTAAAAAAAAAAAAAAAAAAAAATATATATATATATATATATATATATATATATATATATATATATAATTCATTATTTATATATATATATATATATATATATATATATATATATATATATATATATATATATATATATATATATATATATATATATTAAGGATGTAGTTAAATTTGAATTTGAAAGTTATTTCATACAAAAAAAAAAGGTTTATTTCGTCTGTTGAATAATTTTTATTTTACTGGCTTTTGCTGGATGGCTGTCGAATTGAAACAAATTGAACCCCTTAAAATATACCTAAATATTAATACTAATCTAATCTGACATTCAGTCTTCCCCCATCCTCCCATAAAATTTTCTAGATATGTAAATAATAGTATGATGAGTAAGAGTAAAAGAAATAGTACTTAGCTGTTCCTGCTTCTGATTTATTTCACACTAATTAAGTATAAGATAGATTTCTAACGGAACTTATTTCAATTCAGTTTTGAGTGTGTATTTTGTCGAGTTTTTCTCAACGTTTTCCGTTAATCGACGATATATTTTGTATCGTTAACATAGATATTTTTAAAAAAATGTATCCATAACCGCTAATCCCTCTATTCTGTAACCATAATAATCAATAGAAGAATAGGCTGGTTGAATAGGTCATATAGATTACTCATTTTATACAATATTTTGTCAGTATTTTGAGTTCGAAGCCTTTTGTTTATTTTTAACGTATTATTTTTTATATTTATAATTTGTTCTAAAGCAACACCGGTTACAAGATAGCGAAATTATAATTTTAAATAAATAAAATAAGATAGTAAAATTATTTTTCATTCATTCATTCATTTCATTCAAAACACTCACGGGCTCTTTGAGCCACCAAAATTTAAAATCGGGCCAAGTCGTTCGCTCAAAAAATCTTTACGTGTTTACAAATGGTCGAAATAAACATAAAAACCTTCCTGTAGTTGGGTACAAATAATTTTTTTAATGCAGACTTTAAGTAATTATAAAAAAAAAATAAAATATCGTCTACATTTACTGGATTTATTTTTTTAATACATGTTACTTCACATATCTAATAAATCAGAAGCACCCAGAGGAGAGGGTGGAACCATACATGTTGCCTCAAAACTTTTCCGAGAGAACCGAGAAAACTACATTTAAAACAAGGAACAAGGAAAAAACATAGAAAAGATCATAACAATTGTAATTGTATATCATCTACACTTTCCCTTAATCTATTTTCGTTTGCACTGATTGTAAGAAGCAGAGAGGAATATAATTGTATCACAAACGTAGGTATTTTTGAATTTTAATGAAAACTGCTAACTTCTCTAGTTTATAAATATAATAATCAATAATACTGTATGGATGAATCAATTTTCTGGATTTGCATTCAATTGGTTTTTCATCCTTATAATTTCAGAAGTCAACTACTAACCCGACTCATGTCAGAAAAATTATTTATTTTATTTCATTGGCCGTGGGGCGACCCAGGGTTGGGTGCCCCTCCTGGGTAGGGCACACCCAGCGTCTATAAAGTGAATACCCTTAATTAAAATAATTAATTGAGAGGAAAAACCTGGTGGTTGAGCGTGATCTCGGTCAAATCACCTTCTTGCACAACCATAGACCAAGAAACAGTGCTTTTCCTAAATAGTACTGAATCCAAGACCCTTCATGGGTTGTACTGGTACAGTTTTTTTTATTATTTTTTTTATTTTTATTTTTTTCCCATAAATTCTAATGGGGAGTCATTCTAATGTATTCATCGTCTTTAGGGGAAGAGGTAGTAGAGTTACAATGATAATATCATTTAT